CCACAAGCAGCAATACGGTGACCCCAGATCATCGTAGCTAAATGGAGCCACAGCCACAAAGCAGATGACAATATAGTGAATTGTTCTAGTTTTGCATCACAAAGCTGAAAACACAGGACTGCAGAGATAATACAAATGTCCTCAAACTGAGGTCGCAGCTTTTTTTTTTTTTTCTTACTGAATATGTAAGTGTTAAATCTAATATGTGTTTGTGTTTGTTCAGGCCCAGCAGATACTGTCAGCCTGCCAGGAAAAGATTGATGTGTCAAACACTGAGGGTTACGAACTTTTTATCACCCAGCTGAAAGAAGGCCTGAAGAATACCTCACATGAGACAGCAGCTAATCACAAAGTGGCGAAGGTGAGTTTAATTTAAAAAAACTTTTGTTTTCTAACTGTATGTCTCTGAGCTTCTGTACTGGAATTAGAACAGGGCGATATGGCCAAAAATATTTATCACGATATATATTTGAAAATTTGCGATAACGATATAACTGACAATATAATTTATGCGAGACAAAATACAAAATACAACTCCACAACTTTACTAGCGCAAGAAAACCATCCATTTATTTTCACTTAAACAAGCAGCTGTTTTTTGCATAAAGGTTATATAAAAATTTAACAGTGCAAATGCCTTTTGGTTAAATTGTCAGCAAGAATTTGCATTTCCAGTAGAAATTGGCCGACATATCCTGAGCATAACCATGTATAATATCAAAAACTTAAGAGGTTATACACACGCAATGTTATGTTGAAGCACACTACAGATCACTCCGCGAGGCTCCTGCCTACGATAGCCGTAATGCTCCGACAATCCATCAAGCGCTACGGGTTTGTAGCTTAGCAAAGTCTTACTAAAACATTTGACAAATTTTTCAAGCGATTGACGATCTGCTTTCCTCATTCAGCGTTGCTGCCATTCTTTTTCGGCCATGTGCGTATGAAAACAAAGGCACTGCGCATGTGCGTTTTACCCATATTCTATTGCGATATTTTCTTTTCTTATCGTTGCCTAACATTGTACCAGTATTATCGTGAACGGTATAATATGGCCCAGCCCTAACTGGAATGTCATTAAATGACCATGAATGTACACTCGTATCTTCAACCAACCTGTGGCAGGTTTGGTGCAGTGCACAAGGTTACAGAAATTAAGAGGTGCACGACTGAAGCGCTACAACGATTATGTCATGTGACACATGATGTGATGTCAACATAAGCGCACAACTCAAAGAGGCAGGACACATGATTCCCACTTGTATACTGTGAATCAACCACATTTCACCTGTTCTGTTCTTACACTAACACAATTGGATGTCAAATAATTGGTTAAAGTCCAATTGTGGCAAATTTTGTCATTCCCATAAGGAACCCTATAGGTAGTATCTACAGTAGTTCACAACTATAGTGCATCCATGAAATAAAAAAATAGACATTATCATGACAAACAGATAAAGCGGAAGACTGTTTTAATGGTGCTGGTGTCTGCTGTGACTATTGGTTAATAATATATCTCTTAAGATCCTACAATACTTTAGCAGAGCTATGCTTAAAACAAACTATGGGTGAGAAACATAACTAGTGACATTCAAATACATGAGTAGTGAAGAAGAGTTCTCAGTGCATTATTACCCAGAAACATGGGAATGTCTTGGGATACTTTGGCCTTTTTAATACCATTCGGCCTCGGCTTGAATGGCACCGTTTATCAGAGTATTTTTTTATGATTATGTGTATTCCTTTATGGTAACAGTTAAGTATATTCTGTTGGCTGTGTCCAGCAGAGTAATGTATCATATCACAAAGTAAACTTAAAATTAATTTTATAAACAGGGCACTGTCTGGACACAGTGGTCTCCCCAGTCACCTGATCTGATTTCAGTTTGAAAGGGAGATATGCAAAAAAAATATTATTATTATTTTTGAAAGAATTTCAGAAGTGTACCTAGAAATGGTATGGTCTGCACTGTCGTACTTGAAGTTCTGTTGGAGAAAAAAAAACATTTTCAAGTATAGGGGTTGAAATTTGTTCATGAGGTGTAGGTATTAAAAGATATTTAAGTTTAAATTTGTATCTGTTAGGAATATATCCAAAATAAATTTTTGGAAACTGTAATACTTAAACGCTTACTTTAGGGCAAACTAGTCAAGTCAAACAGTTGTGTCTGTTTTTTTTTTTTTTT